AATTCCAAATTCTCCAAATTCCAAATTCCCCAAATTCCAAGTTCCCCAAATTCCAAATTCCCCTAATTCCAAATTCCCCAAATTCTAAATTCCTCAAATTCCAAATTCTCCAGATCCCAAGTCCTCCAATTCCAAATTCCCCAAATTCCAAGTCCTCAAATTCCAAATTTCCTAGATCTCAAATTCCCCAAATTCCAAATCCCCCAAATACCAAATTTCCTGAATTCCAAATTCCCCAAATTCCAAGTCCTCAAATTCCAAATTCCCCCAGATCCCAAGTCCTCCAATTCCTCCCCCAAATACCAAATTTCCTGAATTCCAAATTCCCCAAATTCCAAACTCCTGAAATTCCAAATTCCCCAGATCCCAAGTCCTCCAATTCCAAATTCCCCAGATCCCAAGTCCTCCAATTCCAAATTCCCTAGATCTCAAATTTCCCAAATTCCAAATCCTCCAAATACCAAATTCCCTCAATTCGAACTTCCCCAGATCCTAAATTCCTCAATTTCCTAATTTTCTAAATTCCCAATTTCACAATTTCCCAATTTCCCAAATTCCCAAATTCCCAAATTCTCAAATTCCAAAATTCCAAAATTCCAAAATTCCAAAATTCCAAAATTCCCAAATTCTCAAGTTTCAAAATTCCAAATTCCAAAAATCCCAAAATCTAAAATTGAAATTTGCAAATTTCTCATTCACAAACTCTGAAATTATCATACATAAAATTTCAAATTTTCCCTACCCCCAATCCCGAATTTTGTAAACTCCCTATTGGACCCCATAACACCCTCTCCAATCATTCGCGTACAGTGTAAATTCATTCAGCATGGAAATTCAATGATAATCGAACAACGATTGAAATTCGCTCGCACAGCCTTAAATGTTGTTCACCGGTAGTAAATTTAGATCGGCTAGACGTTCCATCCGTACAATAACGGGGGGTCATTTCTATTCTCCCACGCGGACAGCATCGACGCTACGAGAGCACCGGGGACTCTGTTTTATCGGAGGTGTGCTCCATTGTACGGCAGGGTGCCAATACAACGGAAATACGGTGAAAAGGGAAGAGTTTTCTGTCCTTTCGTTCGAGATTTATCGACGTTTCAGTGCCGCGGTGTTCGCTCTAATTAATGGCGGCCACCTTTTACGGTGTTAATCCTCGTTTCGTGTAATTCGGCCGGCGGCGCTCATTGTGCGCGCGCGCGCATGCAGAAAGTGAGAGGACATACGCTCCTCTCGTAATAGCTTGCCTGAGATCACTTTCACAACGGGAGCAAGGTCTTATATTTTTCACCTGGGTCTTTCGTCGGTTACTTTCGTAGTTAGAGGGTGGGAGATTCTTGCGAGAAATTCGAAGGGACATGTCCCTTGGCTAAACTCCCATGACTGTTGAAAGTTAACGACACGCGAACTGTTGAGAACTGTTTCACATTTTTAATATGTCAGGTTCTTTTCTTATGTTGTATGTTAGTCGTGTAGAGGGATGTTTGTATTGTGAATAAAAGGACGTGGTCTTTTAAAAGTTACACTGATCAAATATGAATAACATGGGGCACACAATTTTTGTTCTATAAATAGGAAGGTTTTGAAAGAATTAAAAAAGGTTTTTTGTTAGTTTGTAGCTTGATTTTATGATGTTCACAGGGGGTTGACTGTATTGTGATGAGTTTGAAAGAATCTTTAGACAAAAGTTTCTTGATTACATTGATAAAATTTATAAGGACAGGTGCATAAATAATTAATAAATTTTAATAATGCATATTGAAAATAATTTCAGAAATATTTTATTTGTTCAAGTTCTTGTATTGCTTCATTTCATGATGTTCATAGGGGGTTGACTGTATTGCAAGGAATTTGAAAGAATCTTTAGGTAAAAGTTACTTGGTTACGTTGATAAAATGTATAAGGACAAGTACATAAATAATTAACAAATTTTAATAATGCATATTAAAAATAATTTCGGAAATATTTTATTTGTTCAAGTTCTTGTATTGCTTCATTTCATGACGTTTATAGAAGGTTGACTGTATTGTGATGAATTTGAAAGAATCTTTAAGTAAAAGTTACTTGATTACATTGATAAAATGTATAAGGACAGGTGCATAAATAATTAACAAATTTTAATAATTCATATTAAAAATAATTTCAGAAATATTTTATTTGTTCAAGTTCTTGTATTGCTGCATTTCATGATGTTCATAGGGGGTTGATTGTATTGTGATGAGTTTGAAAGAATCTTTAGACGAAAGTTACTTGATTACATTGATAAAATGTATATGAACATTAGGAACATAACTACAAAATTTTAATAATTCATTTAAAAAATAATTACAGAAAGGTTTTATTTAATGAAATTGTATTGCTTGATTTCTTGATGTTCATAGGGGGTGTACTTATTGTGTTTAATTTAAATGTGCAGTCCTTTGATAAAATTTGCAAGATAAAATTGGTCAAAGTTAACAATATTAGGTGCAAGAATTGTAATATTTTATTAGTGAACTGATTGTGAGAAATATTTTCAAGAGAACGAATTTGAAGTACCAGTCACCAGCGACCCCTATACTAAGAGTACAAAATAGAAATCTTCGTTACCATGCTTCGGATAACAACGTACGTGACGCCATCTTACGTATGAGTTCATAACATGTTAAGACTCCTAAAAAATGTATCAACCGAATAAAACTTGTCAAAAATAGAATTTATTATAGCAAAGCAGAATATAGAAATACAGAGGACTTATTGATTGTACTATGTTAGTGATAAAATCATAATACAATGTTCTGAAAGAAATAGTACAATACTCTATTAGTTATGAAATATTTAACAAGTCATACGATCATTGTTAATAATAAAATCATGATACAATATTCTGAAAGAAACAATACAATACTTTGATAGTATTGGAATACGTAGTAAGTCATACAATTATTGCTAGCAATAAAATCATAATACAATTGACCATTAACCATAACACAAATCAAAGGAACAATAAAATACATTTTGTTAGTAATAGTATGACTTACACTTAGTAGCACAGCATGACACTTGGTCAGACAATTCTGCAGTAAAAAGGCAAAAATAAAATATTGTAATAATATAAAATTGAGGAAGAAACATTTTGATGCACAATTTCATGGTTGCATTGATGATGATGCTGGCGAAGCTGGTGATGCTGGCGAAGTCATTGATCCTGGTGAAGTCGACGCTCCTGGTGAAGTCGACGCTCCTGGTGAAGCAGATGATGCTGGAGAAGTCGACGATTCTGTTGAAGTAGATGATGCTGCCGTAGTCGACGATGGCGTTGATGATGATGGTGAACTCCCCACTGATGGCGCAGTAGATGACGCAGTTGAAGTTGTTGATGACGACGTAGAAGTACTAGGTTCTGCTCCTTTCGTCGTACTTCCATGAGGCAAATATAATTCCGGACATTTTATGGCACAGGCAAGATTTGTCAAATATTGCGACGTTTCTGAAGAGCCACAAGTAGAATTGCAAAAGGACTTTCGTATCGGATCAAGAAGATCAAAGCCGAATCTTGGGGAACGTTCGTTGAATTCTTCTTCTGAAAGCTCCTATTGAAATGAGAAATTTTTTGAATCACATTTTTCGAAGATACTTACTTAACAAAATGAGGAAATTTTTTAATTTTGAAAATTATGAAAAGTTGGTGATAGAAATAAATAGTAAATTTTTAATTTGTTAGAGGAAGTATTCTTATAATTTATAAAGTCTTGTTATTATAATTATGTCTACTGTTAGGTTAGGTTAGATGTTTAATAGAAATATTGTACGTATCATGAATGAGAAATATTTTACTTGACAATAATTTAGTTCTACCATTCATTTTAAATTATTATATACAGACTAACACAACGGCTAAAACAAATAAACACAAATTGTTAATTTATCTATAAAAAAGAATTTTTTCTTCAGCAACAAAAATGTCTCAAAATAAAATAAATATCAGCAGTAAAATAGACATCATATTTTAAAAAATATAATATATCCAAACAAAATTTTTTCTTCAGCAACAAAAATGTCTCAAAACAAACTAAAAATCAGCAGTAAAATAGAAATCATATTTCATGAAATATAATATATCCAAACAAAATTTTTTCTTCAGCAACAAAATTGTCTCAAAATAAACTAAAAATCAGCAGTAAAATAGAAATCATATTTCATGAAGTACAACATATCCAAAAATTATATTTACAAAAGTATATAATAAATTTTAGAAAGAAAAGCAAAGTTTCTTGAAGAAGATTTGAAAGCGATTATTAAGTATGTTAAATTTAGAACAGTATTCGTGTGAGGAAGTTTTGAAAATGTCACGGAAACTATGGCAAGTCTAACCTGTGACCAAACAGATCCGATCAATATGAGCAAAGCAATCCATGCGGTAAAGCGCGACATAACGAACTCACTGTGAAGCTGATTAGTCGACGAGTGACACGAACAGCATTTTCTCGCAAAATTTCCCTTCCGACTTATATACAAACACTCCGGAGACCCTGAATCGTTAAAAATTCTTGCTTGACCTACTCCTGCTGTTCCTCATTTTCTATAACACCTCCTTGAAAATCATGGTTACCCCTACCATAACGTAACACATATTTCTTATCGGTATGCTTTGTTCCAGCAAAATTTTATGCAAAATCGACGATGACGATGACTGACTGATTAAATTGTATGATAAATTTTGTGTATGATGTATTGTAGGGGGTTGGATTATGTAATTGGAGTACTATGACTAAATAAATTATGTAATATAGCTGCATGTGATATAAGGTGACTTTTATATTGTAGTAGATTGTCAGTTCAATGTGTAGTATGGTGTAATTTTAAGGTATAATGTATTGTAATAGCGATGTAGTGGCAAATTTTTAAATTTCTAGATCATCAAATTTATGAATTTATAAACTCTCAAATTTTTGGATATTCTAGTTCACAAGTTTTTAAATCTGCAAATCTCCAAATTGTAAAATTTCTAAATTTCTAAATTTCCAAATCCACAAATTCCTAAATTCCCAAATTCCCAAATTTCCAAATTTCCAAATCCCCAAATTTCCAAATCCCCAAATTTCCAAATTTCCAAATTCCAAAATTTCCAAATCCCCAAATTTTCAAATTCTCAAATTTCCAAATTCTCAAATTTCCAAATCCCCAAATTCCTAAATTCCCAAATTTCCAAATCCCCCAATTTCCAAATCCTCAAATTTCCAAATCCTCAAATTTCCAAATCGTCAAATTTCCAAATCCTTCAATTTCCAATTCTCAAATTTCCAAACCCACAAATTTCCAAATCCCTAAATTTCCAAATCCCCTAATTTCCAAATCTCCCAATTTCCAAATCCTCAAATTTCCAAGTTCCCAAATTTCCAAATCTTCAAATTTCCAAATCCCCCAATTTCCAAATTCTCAAATTTCCAAATCCCCCAATTTCCAAATCCTCAAATTTCCAAATCCCTAAATTCCTAAATTTACAAGTTGCCAAATCTTCAAATTTCCAAATTTCCCAATTTCCCAATCCTCAAATTTCCAAATTCCTCAATTTCCAAATTCTCAAATTTCCAAATCCCCCAATTTCCAAATCCTCAAATTTCCAAATCCCTAAATTCCTAAATTTACAAGTTGCCAAATCTTCAAATTTCCAAATTCCCAAATTTCCAAATCTTCAAATTTCCAAATCCCCTAATTTCCAAATCCTCAAATTTCCAAATTTCCAAATCCCCGAGTTCCTAAATTTCCAAAGTTACAAACCCTTAAATTTCCAAATCCCCAAATTTCCAAATCCTCAAATTTACAATTTTGTTAACTCTTCATATCCCCAAATCCCTAAATCCTTAAAAATATTCCCAGTATAATCTAACCTAACCTCAATACATAACCTAACCTCAGTATGTAACCTAACCTCAATACACAACCTAACCTCAACATACAACCCAACCTCAACAAAACATAACCTCAAAATACGACTCCCAGCCACTAAAACCCCCTACCAAAAATAAAACTTCACTTTCTAAAAAAGAATTTTAAAGAAGCATTATCAGAAGCGTAATAACATTGAATGTATTTTAATTAATGATTAAAGCAAAGTCGTGTGGTTCATGGTGGGTTATTTTCTTGGTCTGGTGTAATTTGCATAAATTAAAACGTTCGTGCGTGACCGAAGAATGAAGAAAAGAATTGTGGAGTCGATAAATCGGTGTGTCGTGTGTCATTGTCGTACGACAGATCGAAATCCATTATATTTCTGTGTTCTCTGGTCACGTTGTGTTAATTATCATATCAAAAGCACGAACATTGTGTTATTTTTCATGCTACGCCTTAAATGTATGCAACCTGCTTTGCATCCGTGCGCTGCTGTGATAGTTAATTCTATAGTGTCTTGGTTGAAGTTAAATCGTTTATGAAAGCGAAATATCAAGCTTTCAGTTTGTTGTTTTTGAAGCTTGCTTTTTTAATACTATATATTGGTTTTATGTTTTTTTAACGAATTTTACAAATTATAGAATTGCATTATGGTTGGTTTGTTGTTAGGTTAGAAGGAAAATATCAAGTTTGATAATTTTACAATTTTCTTTTGAATTATTAGAAATTTTCGTAGCAATTGATACTCAATTTTCAAAATTTTTTTAAAGTAAGTTAAAAGAATTGAATTTAATTATATTAATTTTAAAAATTTTGTAATTTTAAAGCTTGCAGGTTAGGTTATTATAAATTGCAAAAATACATTTTCTTACTTTCAATATCACAAAATTAAAAAATTCTCAAAAATCTCAATATTCTAAAATTTTGAAGTTGTGATATTTGAAAAATCTTGAGATTAAAAAATTTCTGAGTGTGAATTTTCAAAGTCTACAAAATTTTGAAATCTCAAAGTTCTATACTTCTAAAGTTACAAAATCTTAGATTTCCAAATATTCTAAATATTCCAAATATCCCAAATATCCCAAATATCTCAAATATCTCAAATATGTCAAATGTGTCAAATATTCAACATATCACAGCCATTCTAATTACTCCAAATATCTTACATATTCCAAATATCTAACATATCACTCCAAATACCCCAAATATCCCACATATTCCAATTATCCAATATATCACCCTAAATACCCCAAATATCCAATATATCACAACTATGTCAAATACCTCAAATACCTTAAGTATCCCAAATGTCCCAAATTTCCAAATCTTCCAATTTCCAATTCCCCTAATTTCCAAATCCTCAAATTTCCAAATCCCCAAATTCCTAAATTTCCAAATTGACAAACCCTTAAATTTCCAAATCCCCAAGTTCCTAAATTTTCAAATTTACAAACCCTTAAATTTCCAAATCCCCCAATTTCCAAGTCCTCAAATTTCCAAATCCTCAAATTTCCAAATTCCCAAATTTCCAAATCTTCAAATTCCCAAACCACCCAATTTCCAAATCCTCAAATTTCCAAATCCCCACATTCCTAAATTTACAAATTTACAAACCCTTAAATTTCCAAATCCCCCAATTTCCAAATCCCTCAAATTTCCAAATCCTCAAATTTCCAAATTCCCAAATTTCCAAATCTTCAAATTCCCAAACTTCCCAATTTCCAAATCTTCAAATTTCCAAATCCCCACATTCCTAAATTTACAAATTTACAAACCCTTAAATTTCCAAATCCCTCAATTTACAAACCCTTAAATTTCCAAATCCCCCAATTTCCAAATCCTCAAATTTCCAAATCCCCACATTCCTAAATTTACAAATTGACAAACCATATCCAAATACCCCAAATATCGTAAACACCCTAAGTATCCCAAATATCCCAAATATCCCAAATATCCCAAGTATCCCAAATATCCCAAAAACCCCAAATATCCCAAATACCCCAAACACCCCAAGCACCCCAAAAATCCCAAATATCCAAAACTGATCTGCAACCTTCACACCTCCACCCATGATATCAACATATAAACAGTGATTGATAGGTAATCCCTCCCCAACCGATGACATTTTCCCATTGCACGAAACATTTCTTTTCGTCCAAATACAAACTGGATGACAGAGTTTCGAGAGTGCATGTAAGGTGTTGATCATATCCAAGTTGTGCTTATGACCTTTCACGCAGGACTGCTTAAAGTTACGTCAATGGTGTGCATTGTTCGAGAGAGCTGACTGGTTGGAAGGCGATAGACACCACGTGATCTTGCTACCAATGACGCCGGGGAATACCAACGGGTCGATAACAATGAAACCGACAACCAAGCCTCGGGAATATTCTCTTGTTGCCTTGGTCCACCGCCCTCGCTTTTCCATTCTTCATTCTTTTTCTTTAACACGAACCTCTTGTCTACTAGCCTCGTTAATTTATTCTTCTTTCGACATCTGCCATCGTCAAATTTTAGGTTGACTCTATTTTATGACAGTGGTTGATTACCTTTTGTGATTTAATTATGTTCTCTTTAAAGTATGAATCAATCTAGAATTTTTAATTTAAGTGTCTATTTGGGTCTGGCTTTTATTACGGATCAATAACTCTGTATCGACGTAGGGTTCACTGGTTTTAAATTATATAATTTATTTTATATTTTATGTAGCTGTGTTAATGTGACGAAGATATAGTTGTAGAGTATTATGTTAAAGTAATTAATCGACTAATTGTTACAATTATTGATGTTTTTAGGAACAGATTATCTTAGCATCGCTTCTTTACCAGCTGTCGGTAGTGGAGTGCATAAACGTATTGATCACTTCGCTATCAGTAATCTCTAATTAATTCAAAATTATTGCTCCACCAATCCCACCTGATTTACTCGAATATCGAACATTGCTCGAATATTAACTCTTGTTAAAATGAATTCTACATTTTCTGAAATCGCATCATTAAATCATCTAATAAATAAATGTAAATAAAAATATATAACTACGTGTATCTAAAGTACATATAATAATTTTTCTGATTAAATTGAATTTTTTGAACCGTCAGGAAATGTCATTGCGGAAGTCCCTCGATAATTAATTTGTTTTTGCTAGCCTCCTAGTAAATGGAAGATCATTATTCGTGAAAGTAATTGAACCCGTTATGAAACTCGTCTTTCAAGAAAGTAATCTAAGCGTAGTGGGGCTTTCGTAATTCTTGACTGAATCTCTAATTAGACCCGCATATGCCAATCGATCCTCCTTCAGTCACGCACTAGCTCGTGTTCTACTCGTGAGAGAGAACAGGGCAGATATTAGTCGACATTTAGATTGAACTTTTCAATATTCACGCGATTATCACCAGATTCCTGACAGAACTATCAATTTACTGAATTTTTTCAGATTCTAGGGATTTTTGCTTAGGATAAACTGTTTCGATTATCTACTGTCGGTAACATCAGCTGCATTTTCTTCACTATCATATTTTCTTGTAAGAAATAATTTTTGTAGGGCACTCATATTTATTGGACTTATTTTTTTATTACCACAGATTATTGTTACAATTCTTTGCAATAAGTTACTATAGTTTCAGTATTACTCAGTTGGTAACATTTTTTTTCTTGGGAATCAGCAACGTTGAAATTTTGTGATCGTTGTAGAAAAGTGTGCTTCTCAGTATTCATGAGTTTATTTGATTACTGTTAGGTATTTGTGAGATGTGAGATTCTAGGTTAGGTCTTATTTGGGTCCATACAATTTTCATACGTTTCTGCTACGTCTCCCTGCGTTATCTTTATCTCCCTATTTCCTTCATAGATCGTCAACAATCTCTACTTTAATTCTCTCAAAACATAATCATTTAAAGACACCTAACAACTTA